AATTCTGTGGCACGGGTTCGATTCCCGCACGAGGCAGGAACAAATGAGCAAAGTTTCTTTCACCCTGAATGCCCCTGTTACCTAGCAGTAAATAGGTACCTGGGAGTTAGTCAGCTGCCACGGGCTGCTTCCTGGTGTGTGTGTGTGTGTGTGTGGTGTGGGAAAAAAAAGTAGTTAGTAAGCAGTTGATTGACAGTTGAGAGGCGGGCCGAAAGAGCCAGAGCTCAACCCCCGCAAACACAACTAGGTGAGTACACACACGTGAAGCAGCCCATAACAGCTGTCAAACTCCCAGGTTTGACAGCTGTTACGGGCTCACCTAGTTGTGTTACCAATTTTCTGCTTGGTAACAGGAGCATCAGGGTGAAAGAAACTACCCATTTTAGTTTCTCGCTGGCGCCGGGAATCGAACCCGGGCCATAGGATTACGTGTCCGGCATGGTATCCACACAACCACCGGCGCCCTTGGTGTGTGCTCACATGTGTGTGTATTTGTGCGTGATTACTCGTGTATGTGTCTTTTTGTGTGATAACTCGTGTGTATTTCTTTGTGTTTGTGTTTTTTTCTCTGTGTGAATATTTTGTGTGTGTGTATTTTCTTTATGTTTGTTTGATTGTCTCTTTGTTATTGTTTCTGTTCATGTTTGTGTGTGTTTATTGACATATGCATTGGTTTGTGCATTTTGTTTGTGTACATGATTTTGCTTGTGTGTACTCACCTATTTGTACTTGCGAGGGTTGAGCTTTGGCTCATTGGTCTCGCCGCTCAACTGTCAATCAACTGGTGTACAGATTCCTGAACCTACTGGGCTCTATCATATCTACATTTGAAACTGTGTATGGAGTCAGCCTCCACCACATCACTGCCTAATGCATTCCATCCGTTAACTACTCTGACACTGAAAAAGTTCCTTCTAACGTCACTGTGGCTCATGTGGGTACTCAGTTTCCACCTGTGTCTCCTTGTTCGCGTCCCACCAGTGTTGAATAGTTTATCCTTGTTTACCCGGTCGATTCCTCTGAGGATTTTGTAGGTTGTGATCATGTCTCCCCTTACTCTTCTGTCTTCCAGTGTCGTAAGGTGCATTTCCCGCAGCCTTTCCTCGTAACTCATGCCTCTTAGTTCTGGGACTAGTCTAGTGACATATCTTTGGACTTTTTCCAGCTTCGTCTCTTGCTTGACAAGGTACGGGCTCCATGCTGGGGCCGCATACTCCAGGATTGGTCTTACATATGTGGTTTACAAGATTCTGAATGATTCCTTACACAGGTTCCTGAAAGCTGTTCTGATGTTAGCCAGCCTCGAATATTTCCGCAGACGTTATTCTTTTTATGTGGGCTTCAGGAGACAGGTTTGGTGTGATATCAACTCCTAGATCTTTCTCTCTGCCCGTTTCATTAAGTACTTCTTCTCCTATTCTGTATCCTGTGTCTGGCCTCCTGTTTCCACTGCCTAGTTTCATTACTTTGCATTTACTCGGGTTGAACTTCAACAGCCATTTGTTGGACCATTCACTCAGTCTGTCTAGGTCATCTTGTAGCCCCCTACTATCGTCCTCAGTTTCAATCCTCCTCATAATTTTTGCATCATCAGCAAACATTGAGAGAAACGATTCTATACCCTCTGGGAGATCAATTACATATATCAGAAACAGTATAGGTCCAAGGACTGACCCCTGCGGGACTCCACTCGTAACATCTAGCCAATCTGAGACCTCACCCCTCACACTGACTTGTTGTCTCCTGTTGCTTAGGTACTCCTGTATCCAACGGAGTACCTTCCCTTTCACTCCAGCCTGCATCTCCAGTTTATTCACTAGCCTCTTGTGTGGCACTGTATCAAAGGCTTTTTGAAACTCCAAAAATATGCCGTCTGCCCACCCCTCTCTTTCTTGCCTGATTTTTGTTGCCTGGTCGTAGATTTTAATTAGCCCTTTGAGGCAGGACTTGCCATCCCGGAACCCATGTTGATGCTGTGTTAAAAAGGTCTTTCGCTCCAGATGTTCCACTAGCTTTCTTCGCACAATCTTCTCCATCAGCTTGCATGTATGCAGGTTAAGGACACTGGCCTGTAGTTCAGTGGCTCCTGCCTATCCCCTTTCATGTATATTGAAACTACATCAGCTGCCTTCCAAATTTTTGGCAGTTCCACTGTTGCCAGTGATTTGTTATACACCATGGAGAGTGGCAGGCACAGTGCTTCTGCTCCTTCCCTTAGTATCCAAGGGGAGATTCCATCTGGGCCGATAGCCTTTGTCACATCCAACTCTAGTAAAAACTTCTTTACTTCCCTACTGGTAATCTCAAACTCTTCTAGTGGTTCCTGGTTAACTATTCCCTCTCTTATCTCTGGAATCTCTCCTTGCTCTAAGGTGAAGACCTCTTGGAATTTCTTATTCAATTCCTCACATACTTCCTTGTCGTTTGAAGTGAATCCTTCTGCCCCTATCTTTATATTCATTACCTGTTCCTTTACTGTTGTTTTTCTCCTGATGTGGCTGTGCAGCAATTTAGGTTGAGTCTTTGCCTTGCTTGCGATGTCATTTTCGTATTGTCTTTCTGCCTCTCTACTCATCCTGACATATTCATTCCTGGCACTCTGGTATCTTTCTCTGCTCTCAAGTGTCCTGTTATTCCTATAGTTTCTCCATGCCCTTTTACTTTGATGCTTAGCTTGCCTACATCACTGATTAAACCATGGTTTTTCATCTTCATTTCATTGTTTTCCTTTTGGACTAGGACAAACGTGTTTGCTGCTTCCTTGCACTTGTGCGTGTTGAAGTCCATCATGTCTTGGGCCGTCTTTTGTTTTCCCAGTCTATCCTTCCGTGATTGAAGTCTCACATAATGAGCAGGTGGGATCTATTTCTACAGGCAACAGAGGCTGCCTTCTCAATTATAGTGTTAACTGCCATGTTGTTGTTGTCATACTCTTGTCTTGGTCTTCTGTCATTTGGTGGAGAGTTATATATCACTGCTACTACTACTTTTGGTCCTCCCAATGTCATGTGGCCTGTTATGTAGTCTCTGAATCTCTCGCAGCCCATGATGACCATCTCCTTGAAGCTCCATTCCTTTCTCATTAGTAGGGCCACTCCACCTCCTCCCCGTTCTTCCCTCTCTTTCCTTATTACAGTGTAGTTCTGGGGAAACACCGCATTCGTTATGATGCCTGAGAGTTTTGTTTCTGTGAGTCCGATTACATCTGGGTTCATTTCTTGTGTTCTTTCCCCTAGTTCACTTGCCTTGCTGGTGATCCCATCTATGTTCGAATACATCACTCTGAAGCTGATGTCTCTTCTGTCCTTTCTCAGATCCTATTGCTTCCCCTGAAGCAGGGAAACAGGGTGGACAGGGATAGGAGGGCCTATGAAGGGGGACCTGGGGGGTCTGATGTATGTGAGGGCTGGGAGGATCTGGTACGGGGAGGGTGGTGTAGGAGGGAGGGCTTGGGGGGTTGGGGAGAAAAGAGGGCTTGGGGGATGGGTGAGTGGGGGAGGCTTGGGGAGGTGGGTGAGAGGGGGAGGCTTTGGAGACTGTGGGAGAAGGGGAGGCTTGGGGGCGAATGGGAGGAGGGAGGACTTGGGGAATGGGGGGCTTGTTGGCATAAAAGGAAGGAGGGCTTGGGGGGGAGCTTAGGGGATAGGGAGTGCCGAGGGGGATGAGGAAAAAGGGAGGGCTGAGGAGAGTAGGGGAGAAGGGAGGGCTCGGGAGGGTGGAGGATACTGGAGGGTTTAGGGGGGTGGAGGAGAATTTAGGGCTTTGGGGTGAGGGAGAAGGGAGATCATGGGGGAGGTAGGGCATCTATTGGGTGGAGGATAGGGGAGGTGCTTCTCTCACTGTGTCTTTTGAGTTGCTTGTGGATGGTTCCCCACTCCCCTCTGGGATTGTAGGGCTTGGGATTGTGGCTCCCTGATTCTTTCCTTTCTCCCTGCGCTCCCTCTTCACAGCTGCTGCCCTCTCTCTCTCTCATCCCTTGTCATATCCCTCTGCAGGAATACCTTTTTGAACCTCTGCACATTTGCTTGTCTGCTCTTCCTTGCTAGCAAGTCCTCTTTTTTTCTCTCTGTCTTGAATACAACCTCCAGCAAGTTAATAACATTTGTGTGTGTGTGTGTGTGTGTGTGTGTGTGTGTGTGTGTGTGTGTGTGTGTGTGTGTGTGTGTGTGTGTGTGTGTGTGTGTGTGTGTGTGTGTGTGTGTGTGTGAATAAAAAGCAAAAATAAAAATAAATTAGTAGTTGGAAATAGTTGATAGACAGTTGAGAGGCGGGCCGAAAGAGCAGAGCTCAACCCCCGCAAGCACAACTAGGTGAATACTAGCACACACTAAACACTTTGTCACATACATACAAACACACACACACTCACACATACATAATCACAAACATTTCTACAAATGCACACACAAATATATAAACATATTCACAAATAAACACAAGCTCACAAATAAACATAAACACACATATACATTAAATAATTGGAGTTAATTTAAAATCCATGCATTATAATAAAATAATATCATTGGAACATTTGCTGAGAGGTCAAAGATTTAGTTGAATAAAAATAATGTATTTTAAATGTTATTAATTTGACTACCTAAATTGTTTCTGTTTTACGTTAGGGAAACGTTTTGTGTTTGCTGGGAAGATATACAATGTATTTAAGTCTCGGGAATCGTGTTACCGAGATCTAAAAGATTTTGAGGACAAAATTGTTTACTACGCAGGTTTACTACACAAAGGCAAAAATGAAAGCCACAGAACACAGTCATTTCACATGGCAGCCCATTCTCCCAAGCATTCCCAACGTCACTAAACTGCTGTACTAAAATGCTCAAACCTAACCTACTCGAGGACCCACGAACAGAAGAAAATTGGATATCACATTAATTTTGCAAGCCTCTTTCATTTTTAGTACATCAGTTTCTGGCTTTAAGGAAATTATACATCAAAATACGATGTACTATTCAGAAGAACGGATTGGACAGGCATGTACTGACCTTCCTTGGAGAGAAGCTTCCTGAGATCTGCGCCTCCTTGTAGTGAAGAGGAACGTAGGAAGGCATTATGGAGGGCCATGTTGAGGGAGGTACGGTCGAGGGCCAGGTGGAGGGAGGCGTGGTCGAGGGCCAGGTAGAGGGCGTGGTCGAGGGCCAGGTAGAGGGCGTGGACAGTGTTGCGGAGACTGTGGTGGAGGAGCACGGCCCTGGCTCCCGCCCTCCCACCTATGGCTACCACCACCGTCTCCGGCAGCCGCCACAGTCCAGACATCTCTACCAACCTTTTCATTGTTAAATTAAGAAGAATTTAAACAATTTAGGTAGGTTGTTGTCAAAATATTTATTAGTACTCAATTAATGTGTATTTCACTTCTCATTATAAAAATTAAAAGCCATGCATAAATTCCCCCTATAAATTCTTGCGACCCCACCAGCGTATGTTCTTCCCGTATCGCTGACCATTCTCTTTGTCAGTTTAAGTGAATCTAGCCCCAAGCATCTAACTTTAAATTTTGGACAAAGAGACAAACAGATAGTCTGTTATCTATATTATAGGTTAGATTGTCTGTTAATTTGTTTGTGTGTTCAAATGTGGAGGCAAGATGCTTGAGGCTAATCTATGCTTGGATGTTTGCGACTAGAGATAATGGTCTGAGGTATGGGACAAACATAGGCTAGTCGGGGTCGCCTAAATTCAAAAGTGTACTGTGTGCCAGGGTTACATTCAGTCCCCCACAATGATTTTTGGCACTGCCCACCGACTACACAACTATTTTTAAAACAAATATTAAAAAAAGAACCTGATTATGAAATTCAACATTTTTTACTGATCTTATGAAAATGAATGGAATTTTCTTCCTATCCACAATTTGTTCATGGTCGTATAAAACAGACGAGCCTCCCATTGTTTCAAAGGTGTCTCAAACCCTTCACTTTTCTCATAGTAAAGGTACAATATTAGTATTTTTTACTGCTAAGTGTTACAACCCTTGAGACTTAGTACGGTTCTTTTTCCGCAGTGATCAATATATATTATATCGGCCCTGCCAACAGGTGTCTAGGGGTAAAGAAACAACACTGCATAAATTGGGAAAACAATGTATCTACGCTAAAGGTGACAAGCATAATAATTAAATGGTAAATATAATAGCCAGAAATATTCTTTAGCATGCAATAATATAAATAAAAATCCTTATTGAGCAATGACCAATATCACCAGCACATGAATTACTAAAAGGAATAATACACAATCATCTACCCAGAGAATTAACTGAGTATTTATCTAAAATAACAGTAACCACTGACTTAACTTAAAACATGTCTCCTCTCGACCAAAGCTGCCACGCCTCTGACAAAGCGTCGGTTCCCAGGGCAGGCGTCCTACCACGATATGAACTAAACATCCACATAAACTATTGTGGAAATTCTACTAACAAAATGTAGTACTAATATTCAAATCATTATTAATCTTAATAGTATTTAATACTGTTACATTGCTCAATATAATTTACTGGCAAACAATAATAAGAATTAATCAAGGTTGAACTATAACCACTCGCTTGACTTCAAGTTCCCACACTGGCCACATCCATATATGGTCATCCCTCCACACCGAGAAACCAACATGAATAAACTTGCAAAAAGCCTCATACAATATAATGCAACTCAGGCACACTACAGTATGCTACACTAATTAACATATCACATTCTATCATCATACAACTGGATACTATATTAATTATAGAAAAAGACAATAAAGTATATAAGCATCAAGAGTAATGTTAGAATCTTTGTAAGATTCGTAACATCCCTCCCGTCCCCTAAGAAAAAAAATTAAATTAACTGAAGGTTGATTTCATTTTTTTGACTGCATGAAATATAACATGAAAATACTTCAACTAATATCAAAGTACAAAGCAATGAAATTTCACACAGTAAAAAAAATACAAAATTTACATACATCTTATGAATAGAGAACACTACATATTATGGCACTGCAACAGGAAATCCTCTGGATAAGGCATCAGCAATAACATTTTGCCTCCCAGGAATATGACGAATTACAATATTGAATTCTTGCAGAATCAATGACCATCTAAGTATTCTCTGGTTTTTACAGTTCATAGAGTTGATAAATGTCAATAGATTATGATCTGTATATACTACCACTTGATTTCCTGACAAATATGTCTCAAATTTCTTCACTGCCAATATTAAAGGTGATGGAACAAAAATTACTCCCATTATCAGTTTGAATTATATGGGGCATACCATATAGTGAGAAAAATCGTTCCAACTGCCTTATAATGGTAGAAGCTCTAATGTTACGTAAAGCATATGCTTCAGGGAACCTGGTGGTCATACATAAAATTGTAAACATATACATATTTCCGGATTTGGTACGGGGTAAAGGTCCGACACAATCCAGTACCACATGACAAAAAGGCTCCTCTGGCACTACAATCGGGTATAATGGTGCTCGTGGCACAGTCTGATTAGGCTTACCAACAGTTTGACACACAACACAATTGTGGCAATATCTGACCACATCTTTTTTAAGTTTTGGCCAATAAAAAAGTTTACAGATCTTATGATACATACTGGTAATGCCTTGATGACCTCCCATCAGGTCATCATGGGCAGCTTGCAATACCTGCTCCCTATACTCTGTTGGCACAACGAGCTGGGTTTTAGACTCACAATCATCTGATGAGGGAGTTCCTGATGGTCTCCATCTTCTCATCAGACATCGATCCTTGAAATAACAACCCGTACTCTCCTCCAAAGTATCAATGGAGTCGGCTGCTTCTGCATAACACTCAGCAAGACTGGGATCAGTACTCTGTAACTTACGCAAGGTCTGGAACTCTACAGCTGGAGCGAGCGGGCAAGGAACTGGTACCTGGGCCACATCTTCCAGACCATCTGGGTCAGAATAAATTAGGGCTTTGGCACCGGCCTCACTCTCGACATCCACGTGAGCTAAAAATGTATCTTCAAGGTCCACCTCCACCTCCCTGTCTGAAGGGGTCCTGGCCTCGAGAACATCCACCTTGGTAGTAGCAGGACTTACCACATTCTGCTTACCCATGGATCTGGTCACAACACAGGCTGCATAAATGACACCGTCATCCGCATCTGGTTGAGCCAGTACTGCACTAGGTTTAGTATACATAACAGGACAATCGGTCCCACTAACTTGACACTTGTCAAAATCATTACCTACAATGATATCAATCCCAGGAATGGGCAACTGCTCACTGACTGCTACAGTGCATCAACCTGGTGTAATAGAAGAACTCAGGTTAACCTTAATTAATGGTACACACTGGATGTGACCTCCAAGTCCCTGCAATAACACTACCTCTCCAGTGTCTTCTGTGCTAACATCAGTAAGAACACGGCGAGAAATTAAAGACTGGGAAGCACCAGTGTCCCTTAACAACTGAACTGGTTTCCAGGTTCCACTAGTACATAATAGGGTTCCCGAATGTAGGTATGGATCAAAATTAGTCATCCACTTGGGCATGATTGGAGCAACATTGGCATTAAAGGTTTGCAAACCCCTACTCATAATCAGACCAGTTGGTCTCAACTCAGGGTGCAAAGCATAACAGGAATTTACCACATGACCTCTTCTCCTGCAATGCGTGCAATATCTGCTAGTGGTCGGAACAGCTGAACCCACTGCAGGCTTAATCACTACATTACTTGAGGTTGACAACCTTGTCTGTTGTTTCTCAGATTTAGGCTTTACAGGAGAAGGGTTCAGGGAAGAAGGTGAAGTAGCTGGTTGAGTCTGGAAAACATGATTTTTTGTAGCAAAATGATTAGTTTTAGCATTAAAATGATTAATTAGTGCTCTAAAAGGCACTTTAGTAAGTAAGCCATGCTTATCAGCAAGCTTAGCTAGTTTTATAAGATCAGTGGTTTGTTTATTTTCAGCCATAAACAAAGCTAATTTCTCTGGTAGACATTCCACTACTTCCTCAGTTACTATGAGGTCTCTCAAAGTCTCAAACTCTGTAATATTAAGTGCTTTAATCCATCTGTCAAAGTGATTTAATTTTACCCTTACAAAATCAGAAATAGTCTGGTCATATGCTCTTTTTAAGCTTCTGAATTTTATTCTATGTGCCTCTGGGATCCGCTGGTACGCATTTAAAATACTTTATTGAACAAATTTAAAATCGAAAGAATTCTCAGCAGGCAAAGATGCAAATACCTCTTGAGCTTTACCCTTAAATTGTCCTTGTAAAATGCTAACCCATTGATCTACAGACCAGGTCATGCTGACTGCTAATTTCATAAAATACAAGAAAAATATTTCTGGATCTTCTTCATTAAACTTAGGTAATTCTACATGTTTACTGTACTTGGAAGAACTATTTGTACTCTCTGGATTATTACTAGTGTTACCTAGCCCTGCTGCAATTCTCTCTGTTCCAATCTGTTATTATTTTCAGCCATAATCTGCTGAATTTCTAATTGTCTAGTCTGCTGCTCGGATTGTTTAGTTTGTTGCTCTGCTAATTGTAACAGCCTCCAACATCTGTTGCTTTGTCTCCAACTCAAGTTGTTTTTGCTGGTTCTGCAACTCCAACTTCTGCTTGTCTACTTACAGCCTAGCCATTTCTAATTGAGTCTCCAACTCCAACTTTAAGATTGCCACCTTGTCACTTGACTCTTCTTCTAACTCTCCTAAACACTCTTCGTCAAGTCTCTCCTCCTCCACCAAGTGTGTGACAATAACTCTTAACACTTGAGCCTTCAACATTTTATTGGAAACTGCTATGGTCAATTTATCAGCCAGAACCAACAAACCAGACTTCTTTAAGTCTTTAATTTTACTAAAATTTGGCTGTTCCGCCAGCGCAGCATCCTGTTCCTCCATGGTTGGCTCAATTATCACAACTTTACACTTGAAACAACACTGAAAATTATGCTTGGCCCCTGGCACAAGCGGAACACTTACCTCAAATCGTGAAGCGATGAGAAGTTTTCACAGCAGCTCAGATTGAACAGATAATTTCACAGGCTTGATTAGGTGTCACTAGATAATCACAGAGTACCTAGGAAGGCAATTGCTATTAATAATTAGCACTGTCAATTGTACAAACATTACAGGGAATTAATCTTTCATCTCCCGGACAGTGGCCCTCATTTGTTACAACCCTTGAGACTTAGTACGGTTCTTTTTCCGCAGTGATCAATATATATTATATCGGCCCTACCAACAGGTGTCTAGGGGTAAAGAAACAACACTGCATAAATTGGGAAA